AAAAAGTTGCAAGGGTCAAGATCGCACTGATAATCCAAGTGTGGGACAGGCATGCACTAGATAACGTGGGACAAACTGTCCCACGCTTGGAAGCGTGGGACAAAATGTCCCACGTTTGCAAGCGTGGGACAAACCGTGTTACACGCTTACAAGCGTGGGACAAACCGTGTCCCACACTTACAAGCGTGGGACAAATCCGTGTCCCACACTTACAAGCGTGGGACAAACGGTGTCTTACGTTTGTAAGCGTGGGACAAATCCGTGTCCCACGTTTGTAAGCGTGGGACAAATCCGTGTCCCACACTTGCAAGCGTGGGACAAACCGTGTCCCACGCTTGCAAGCGTGGGACACTTTGTCCCACGTTATCTAGTGCATGCCTGTCCCACACTTGGATTTTCAGTGCGTGTTATCTGTAGATGAAGCAACTCTAGAATTGATGGGGGTCTGGGGGTTCCAGCATGCAACTAGTAAGAAGTAACGGACGGTGGACAAGCCATTGCCTGCCGAAGGCAGGCTAGCGCCGCAGGCCAAGGTAGGTACGCCAGGCGCGGATTGGAGTAACAGGCCGCGAGACATCGCGAAGCCTGTTACGACAAGACGCGGTCTGGCGTAAACCTACCTTGTTATCAAAGGAGGTACAAAGGACAATAATTACATAAGGGAGAGTGGGGTAATTCCGGACACGGGGTAATTCCGGACACTTCGATTTTCACTGGGTTTGAGTGAAGATAACTCAAAAGCCCGCCTAACAGAGGAAGATAATCAGTTTTAAAGGAGAATTCCAAATCGCCAAAGTAGGAGGTCAAACCGTTTGCCTGTGGTCGCTTCACGAAATTTGAGTACCATCAAAAATAGGCAAAAGCTGCATCTTTCCCTCGTATTTCCATGTACTTATCGTACCTTACCGTCAAGTTCAGTCCCATGACTAAAATTTTATCATATTATATGGTCATTGGACTTTACTTTGGCGTTTCGGGAGTGCTCGTATGGCTCGCCGTTTTCTTACAGTTGAACATCAAAGGTTTTCACTACCTGTGGGGTAAATCCGGACAATAAGGGTTATTTTCTTTAATTTCCCGCATAATGTTAAGGTAATGGGTTCAAAATTGTGGGCATGCATCCCCACCGTTTAGAAGGATAAAGACAGAACGAAAAATAGCATTGCAGCTATGTTTAAGAGCTCTACTCGAGACAGTGTTGTCAATTTAGGGGTTTTGATAGAAATTATTCCTTATAATATGCTTTGAGTAATGATCAAACACTTCAGTTCGCAGCAAATGTCCTTGAACGCCTTCTAAAAGCATGCCTCACATCAAAACAAGCGAAAGTAAGCTCGAGTAGTGTCAAATTTTAAGGTCGTCCGGCATTGCCCCATAGGTCGTCCGGAATTACCCCAGCCTGGGGCAATTCCGGACACGTGCAGGGCTTTTGTTAGGCGCCTATATCTCCCTAACCGTTGCTGAGATTTGGCTTTCATGTATATCATTTTGAAGGTAAAGGTCCATACTTTACGCCCCTGTCATAACATTTAACCCAAGAAGCATATTCAAGCTCAAAGACCAAAAAGAAAAAAAGCGTCCGGAATTACCCCACTCTCCCTTACCATGCATTGTCCTTTGTACCTATTGCGGTTTGTACCTCCTTTCATAGTAAAAAATTACTTCTTAGTATCAGTTGGTATTGTTTTCATGTGTCATTATTTTGTCATTATTTTATTTCTTTGATGCAATTAATGTATCTAATGAACGTTATTTGGTAATGTTTGGTAATTGGCTGAGCGATAGCGAAGCCTGTTACTCCAGTGGGGTTGAAAAACTTTTTCTGTCTGTCTGTCTGTCAGTCTGTCTGTGTGAGTACACTACTCCTCCTGAACGGCTCGGCCGATCTCGCTGAGATTTTGCAGCCTTGTTAGGTATGTTCTTGGCTCGGCACACTCGAAATTTCACTATCCTAGCTCACGTGGTTCAGTTTTTATAGGCGAAAAACACCTAGAAAACGGCGAAAAATCGAGTTTCCTGGAGGCAGATCAATTCTGTCTTAAAAAAGGGAGGTCTGGGGGGCGGAGCCCCCCCGCCTCGACAAGTTAAAAAGTTACAAGGGTCAAGATCGTGTTATCTGTAGATGAAGCAACTCTGTCTAGAATGAAGGGGGGTCTGGGGGGCGGAGCCCCCCACCATGCAACGAGTAAGAGTAAAAAGCAACAATGCCTGCCGAAGGCAGGCTAGCGCCGCAGGCCAAGGTAGGTACGCCAGGCACGGATTGGTGGAACAGGCCGCGAGACATCGCGAAGCCTGTTACGACAAGACGCAGTCTGGCGTAAACCTACCTTGTGTAGTTTGGGAGTCACTTTAAGATTTTTAGTTTCTTTTTGGAAAAGATGGTCATGTAGCCGCTCCTTTTAGCGAGGATTGATAGTACTTTTCATTCAGTTAGCACCATGACCACTTCGCTCTACCTCGCGACTTTCAGTGCTGATCATGTTCCTCGAACAAGACAAGGGTGAATCACTCAGCGTTCTGGTGTACACATGAGCATATGAGTACGGGTGAGTACACCTCAGGGGTCCGGAACTTGCCCGGAACAGGCCGGAACAAAGGGCAAGTTTCGGGTGTTCCGTGCTTTTCCCGGCAAATCCTGAGTTACCATGTTCTTCTTAAGGGTCGGAACCATGGGTATTTCCTTCTTGGATTCGACAAAATATACCTCAGGAACCTGCCACGAGGGGTGAATCACTAGTGTACTCATGTGTACAAATTTGCCCGTACTCAGTGTAGTCACAAGTTTTAAAAAGGTGAAATTTTCTAGTTTTTCGACCGATTTAACGTCGATTGCCGTGAAAAACGCTAAATAAAGCATAAAAATGTTTAAAATTGTGAAATTTATCAGTAAAGCTAGGTGTACTCACCCGTACTCATGTACTCATGTGTACACCAGAACGCTGAGTGATTCACCCCTCGACCTGCCATCACCCGGAACAGGTCTCACGTTCCGGACCCCTGGTACACCTTGCTTTACTCATAAATTTCACAATTTTAAACGTTTTGAGGCTCTATTAAGCGTTTTTAATCGCACTCAACGTTAAATCGGTCGAAAAGCTAGAGAATTCCCGCCTAAAAATTTTTGAAATTTTAAATTTGTCGTAATGCTCTGAGCTTTGCATCAAATTGATAAAGCTCCAAACTCTGTTTTAAGTTATATGCAATTTTGAATGTAACCCTACAGGGTTTTGAACCAATTCAACTGTGAAAACGGAAAATCGCGTTTTGACCCAAAAGAGGGCATTTTTCGGACATTTGTGTTCTGTAGTTCTCATCTATGGACAGGGACCCCCGTTTTTCTGGAAGGATTTTGATTCTATGTAGTGTTTTTTCTAACTATAGTTTTTCATTGCCTTTTATTACTCCTATGTGCCAAAAGTAAACGTTAGCATGTTTTTTAGACCCATTCCCCATAAGACCCATGTTAAAAATCCCAACTTTGACTGCATTTATCTCAGAAACGAGTTCAGGAAGGAGCATTTTGTTTGGTAACACTGACTTCAGCGCATGATTTTCTATCGATATGGATCAAATGGGGAACTTTTTTAATACTTTGTTTGTAACTGATGTACTACTTTAAATCGGTCGAAAAACTAGAGAATTTCGACCTTTTTAAACTTGTGAGTTCACTGAGTACGGGCAAATTTGTACACATGAGTACACTAGTGATTCACCCCTCGGACTCACCCCACTCACCCGCGTTTCGAAACCACCCCTCCCGAGTTTATAAAGTTTGTCAAACCAATCGTCGTGGTGTTGTTCAGTTGTGAGTGAGAACTATTTCACAGAATTGAAGAAAACATGACTAGAGAACCGTAGCCTTTTGAAACAAGCCAAACAATTCAACGTCAGCAACAATGGAGGGGCAGTTTTAGTGCGCGACTACAGGTGTTTTCAGAAGGGACAATCTCCTTCGAGCTCATTTGACTGATATCCTGTAGCTTTCCCTTAATATTATGAAAACTGAGCTAAACAAGTAGGGGTTCACCTTTCCCTCATTTTTTAACTGGTTGCAAACCCTTTTTCGTGTTTTCGTGATAGTGAAGCATGCATTTTTGTTCAAAATTCCGAATTTTTTCTGAGAAAGCCCCAAGTTTGCCTTTATGGAGAGCTCCATGCAGAAGTTTCGGAAAAACTTCATGATTTTACCATATTTTTTTTTTCGGAATTTTCTGACAGTGCACCAACCACTGGTAGCCACAACTTTCTCCACACTCGTACAAAATAATCCAGTGGCGCCAACACGTGGGTCAGGGTCTGCGGAAGAAGAAGAAGAAGAGAAGAAAGGGGGTTGTAAGGGGCTGGATATCAGTCGCTCCCCCAAAATGAAATTTCTGTGGGCGCCACTGCAATAACCAAATTGACTTCGTGGCTCCTAGGATTTCTTGAAATTGTACTTTTCTCTTCTGGTTAGTAACTTTACTTTTATTTCAGCTGGCTGTTGTTGGAAGTGCCTCTTTCACTTAGTTAATTGAAGATTCATGATGTAAATCGATGAGAAGACCGACATCAGCATATCTTCGAATGGAGTCAAGCGTCAGTCAAAGATTGTAGATTTGTTCCAGTTGACCATTAGTTTCGATAGCTTACTTAGAGTTTTGCTTACATTACCGTTTTTTCTATTAATTTTGTGGGTTTATTCTCTTTTCGAAGTTTCCCTGTTTCGAGTGATGTTCAAAGACCATGGATGACCCGGACGACAGTCGGATTGATGATGAATGGTGCGACGCAGAGATAGCCCACCAACAGGGACGGAGCGACGTAGGGTTGTCCTAACAGATTGACACATAAGGGGATGTGGGTCCAGCCCTGCCCCGGCCAAATCCAGCCGGCCGACGCATCTGATGAAAACCACCTTTTTAACGGTCTTCTATCCCTAAGGCTCCTTCTCACCAATAAGATTGAAGGGCTCAGAATGTATGATCCACCCCAGAACACACCCTGAAATGAGTTACGGATAGTAGATTCTTAGGTAGACGTGCTTTATTTCCTATTCCAACATATTTTCTGATGGTATCTTGAAATATCTTGGTGGTTTGCCATTTCAGGCATCCAAGTGACGAGCGATTTGGCGGAGAATACGGTGGGCCTCTGGAGACACGACAAGTTCATTTGTGAAGGTCTGCAGCATGTCTGATACTGCGATGGACTTCCAGCTGGATGCCTTGCCGGCAACCATGTCGAAGTACTTATTGATGTTGTCCTTGCCTACTGTCTCAATAAGCTGAATAATCTTGTTGCGGTTGGACTGAAAATGTGAAAAATTTGGCAATAAGAGCAATGGCCTACTATTAACGTCCCTAAATTTAACTTCAAGTCGTATTTCAGATTCAGGCAAAATGGGAAGTTGCTTAAAAGTTGAATCATATAACCGCCTAAAGTAAACCAAACAGTAAACCAAGTAAAGTAAAGTAAACCAAGCCTTTTACTTTCTAATTCTGTCTTACTAGTGTGTAATTTCTAATCTAGTCATAAACCAACGGCCAGCTGTTATGTTCATCGAAAACGAATAAATGTTTTAGGATCCTAAGTAAACTTGACCTTACTTTAGACTCACATAAAACAAGATAGAAACAACAAACTTAAATTGAAGCAACTCCTCAATCCTGCACTTACACTCTGACTTCTCCCTACTTCAAAGATGAGACATGAAGTCTCGCCAAGTTTTGGTCAGACCTAAAAGTCCCTCCAAATTTCGACCAGACAAAATTGTTTCGCCACAAAATCCTGAGACTTTCTTGTTTGACCGCGGTAAAGGCGTATGATCCGTTGCGCCGCATGGGCGCTCATCAGCGCTTTTACAGCGGCAGAAAACAGGCTTGCCATTTTGTGACGAGACATTATTGTCTGACCGAATTTTGGCGAGACTTCCTCCTAGAGGGCAAGGTTACCAAACATGGATCAGTGTTAAGAAATATGTCCTGTATTTCGGCTCAAACAAGCGATGACCCAAATTTTCGTCGATACACTCCGAGATTACCGCAAAGAACTAAACATTGAGTATCTCATACTTTGAAATTTACAGGGCTTTGAATTCAGTGATTTTAGAGATCCATATTTGGGTCTGACCCAAACATAGATCACCCCCCCCCCTTTCTCCCGAAATTTACAGGGCTTTGAATGCAGTGATTTTAGAGATACATATTTGGGTCTGACCCAAACATGAATCAACCCCACGCCCCCTCCCCTTCGCGTTTCTACAGGGGCGTTTCGATAACTTCAGGTCGTCTAAATTTTGAAAGGGTGCTCTCTGTAGCTGCCTCGAATAAATTTTGAGACATTTCTGATGAATGGATTCTTTGCAATGACGCATTGAATTTTGACTCCTAACCTGAAACCAGGCCGTTTTCGCACCCTTTTTCATTTGCGTCGTGTAAGGGTAAGATTGATCAGCTCCCCTGCGCGTGATTGTAGCAGTCAAAAGTGCAGACTACAAGAAAACCTTTGAAAAAATTAAATTGGGCGATTGGTTTGGCGGTACGTGCTTTCAAACAAAAATGATCCATATTCGGCACTTTACCCTAAATGTGTGCTTGCTCCAGTAAACTTCTGCAGAAGTGTAATTGTTTAGCTCACTCCTATAGATGTGTACTTCGCACACACTACATCTTGTAGTTTACGGGAGAGTTTTTGAACGTCTTGCATTCTTCCGTATGTGTAATTTTGTTACGTACATTGACAAGAGTCGGGATGAGCTTGTTGACGAGGCTGTTCACGACGCCGCTCATTTCATCAATGTGAACCTGGAATTCAAACAGAAGAACATAATAGGAGAAGTGACGAAAATTGGCATCAGACAATTCCGGGCAGGTGAATTAAAATTTGTAAAGAAATGTGAACGTTTTGGTACACACTGTTGCTTTGTGGAATCCAAAGTCGATGTTGCAGATGTTATCCACGGTGATGGAATTGTCGGGGTTGATTGTGATGTCCAGATCAGCGTTGGCTTTGATTCCGTCGACCTTCGCTCTGCAATCAGATTGCAATACCAGAGTGAAACGTATGCTTCAAGAATCACACATTCGCACAGATCACTGCAAAGCCGGTGGTAAGTTTGCTTGCCACAAATTTTGCAAACCGTTTAGAATGCCAAAAATTGGCAAGCTTAGGCCGGAAATACCACTCAGCCTGCCAAAATTTGGCAAGCTTATGAAGATTTCCGACCAAAGCTTGACAAAATTTGACATTCTAAACGGCTTGCCAAATTTGTGGCAAGCAAACTTGCCACTCGCTTTGCAGTGATCGCACAGGGAACTTACGAGACTGCACTCTTTCCGTTCAGCTTGACGTTGATGAAACTAATCTTGACCTTGCCGTGCAGATCGTACTCCAGGTTCGCGTCTGCTGCAGGCAGTTCAATGGCAAGAGAGACGCGGCCACTGACGGCTCCAGATGTCTGCTCCAGCCTCGTCACGGTGAAGGAGGAGATGCCGTCGACGATCAGGTCGTTGAGAGATCCAGATGCCCTGCAACAGTAGTGCGGAATTACTTCCAAGTTTCTGACCTGTTCCTGGTTGTTCACTGAGACTTTTGACCCCTATAACGGTCTTACTGAAATGTACGACCGAAAAAGGGTCATACCGAAATGTAAGACCGAAAAAGGGTCTTACTTCGATTTATGACCGAAAAAGAGTCTTACTTCGATTCATGACCGAAAAATGGTCATACTTTATAGTGTATGTATTACAGGTAAAGTCTGATATATCCCCAAGCTGTCTCGCTGATGTCTGACCCTTTTTCGGTCATGCATTTGTGTATGACCGTTTTTCGGTCATACTTTTTGTATCACCGAAAATCGGTCAGATGTCTCACCCTTGGAATTTTAGTGTAATTATTATGATTCATTTATTCGCCATGTTTTACGCCTAGTTTCACATTGTTACATGCCCATTGTGGTGAGATAAGCAATTGTCTGATAAAAGATCAGAGGATCTTCAGGATGCACTTCAAACTTAACACAATTACACCACAATCGCTTAGTCCAAAGCTCCTCTTCTGTAAGAAGTATACTTTTATAGTCGCAGTTTTGAACTATTTATAAATGATCCACGAAGGGGAAGAAAGGGATAACTCAATTTTCATCATTTTTCAGGAGAAACAAAAAACTTTTTGCAGGGGAGACTTAATCCTATCAGATGTATGATGCAGTTGTATTTTTGTCAAAAAAGATAAAGAAATAACTGAACATTTTCGTAAGTGTAACATCACTCTGTAGACGATATCTGTGATCTGAATCTTTACGTTAGAATGGACAACGGAATCATGTTTACATAGTTCTCCCAAGATGTGGAATTTTAAGACAATTCAAGCGGAGCTATACGTAGTCTTCATTACTGTGAAGTTACCTCTTTTTTCCAACTAGTGATTGCGAGTTGAGTTGATTCTTTTTCCATTAAATTCTTTAAGACGCAAGTTACCTCCTCTTGCCTTTTTTATCAACGAGGTCATGTGGACTTCGATTCAGTTACCTCCATTTTCCAATGAAATTAGGACCGTTAAAGGGGTCAAGTTCAGATCCATTTTTTATGTGGATTTTCTCCTAATCTGTTAGAAATAAGGTCAAACAGTTAGGTGTTATGACGATTAAACCATCCTGAGGCACAACAATGAGAGAACTCAATTTGGAGAAAAGTCGATTTATTCTCTTCTTCCACATCCTGGATTAAATCAACCCCTGATAAAGTGGCTTATTATTTACGAAGTTTCCTTTCTGGAATGAATTGCGAACATCACCGAATATCGTTGAAAGTTGTAAACAGTACTACTGAGCTACACTTGATTTCCATCTCACTCTCACCAGACAAATATATAAAATTGACTCAATTTTAATTGAGTGTAAAGTAACGGTCGGTAACGGTGCTTAAATTTCAAGATTTGGTACTGCATGAAGTTCTTGATATATACAAGTTATGTTATATATATATATATACAGTGTATATACAGTGTATATATATATATATATACAAGTGTATATATATATATACTGTACTATATGCGAGTACACACCTCTGTCCGCCTCTGTTTCTAGAGGTCCCAGGCCACCGGTTTGCCAAGGTTTGGTATTCGCGCAAATTTGCTCAGAAGGCCTAATTTTAGCTTTCCCAGCGGAGCGCATCTGGAGTAGCGGTGAAATTTACCGATCGACGGACATTAAGATAACTCCATGATCTTACTTGAAGCCACCGCCGTTGGCGTTGATCGGGATCTGGTTGATGTCCAGAGGGTCCACAACTGGAATGCCATACTCCAACGCTCCTGTCTTCAGAATCTTTTGTAGGTTGGCGATCTCCTCCGCTAAGCGATCGGCGGCGGAACCAGACGACGCAGCAGGAAGAGCCAACGCCTGCTGGGAGACCAGCACGGCACCCACAACCAGCAACCACGTAATGCTGAGAACAGATGATGAATGAACGGAATTTTGAACAAATTTTGAGTGGAAATATTGCTTAGTCTTGTAGTGAGAATCAAAATTGTCGCCAAATTTTGGCATGAACCGTTTCGCCACTTTTAAATTACGGGGGAAAACAAACGCTGCGTATACACTGTGGCCAAAAGGTACGGAAAATTCTGTTAACATTTTTGCCAAGATCCTCCGTAGCTCTCTTATAAACGAGACAACGGGCAGTTCAGTTGGTGCGTACTTTCCTGCACTTTAATTCCGATGATGGACACAAAATGATCCGGACGATGACCTAGACCATTCTGAAGAGAGGATACGATTAAACGAATCACGATTGTCGATGGCAACATCATAAGATAGTGCTAGAGACCAGTTATAAGCGAATGACCATAGATCGAACATCATGGTACTGTTCCTTTTTGATTGTTGATACCTTTCACAGCTACGAAGCAAAAATACTGGCTGTCCTGGCTTGGACGCGAGAGCAAATCTTGACTGGGAATCCCTTCAGGGCTTTCTTCTCGTAATGCGCACTAAATGCTTAGCATTGCAACTTTATACTCTCCGAAAGCCTTACAATAATTTGGGAGTCTTGCGAAGAATGTGTTCAGAAAACAGGCACTATCACTGTGGCAAAAAGGTACGGAAAATTCTGTTAATTATTTTGCCAGGATTCTCCGTAGCCCTCTTATCAATATTCTCCGTAGGCTCTTACAGTATTCTCCGTAGGACCTGGAAGACTGTATAGTCCTACGGAGATCACTGTAAGGTCCTACGGAAAATACTGTAATAGCCCACAGAGAATATTGACAAGGGGGCTACGGAGAATTACCACAAGCTGTTTACAGAATTTTCCGTAGCTTTTTGCTACACCCTAGACGAAGGCCAAGTCCCGGCCAGTGGGCCATCACCCGGCCGTCACCCGGCCAACACCCGGCCAAGTCCGGCCAACACCCGGCCAAGGCACGGCCATCACCCGGCAACACCCGGCCAAGTCGGCCAACACCCGGCCTGGGCCCGGTCAACTCTGGCCAAAAACCGGCCTCGGCCAACACCTCGCCATCGCTTGGCCAGCACGCGGCCCATTCCGGCCATACTAATTAAACGGCCGAAAAAGGGTATTTTCGCTGTCTAAAGCGCGTCCGAGGCTCCCCATAACACTCCCGGCGCCTTTTTCGGTACCGCGGTATTAGTGGGTAGGCGAGCGTGTGTCTGGTCCGAAATGGCATACGATCATGTGTGGTCTAGTCCTTAATGGAAATGGTAAATAGTGGGTAGGCAGCCCCGCAGACACGCCTGTTGAGCAAGCTGGCCTACGCTGTACCCTGGCAGGCGCTGGCTCGGCCCTGTCAAATGGCAACGCGGGTGACATGGCGATCAGGACACCCTTTTCAGTGGTGTCGCCGGGGATGGGCAGGCTATTTACTATTGAACCTTGCACCGCAAGCTTCAACACGCAGTTCGTTCTCTTCACTTTTTTATTTACAGTTTCTTCCCTATTGTGCGTTTTCAGGTGAGTGGGTTAGGGCGGAAAAGAACTGGACAGGGGAAGAACTGGGCACCCCATATTTAACTTCGAATACAGTATGCAGCACAGCTAAACAAAGTATCAAAAGTTGCTCCGTGCCATCAGCGGGTTCCGCACGATAGTTGTTAAAGTCTGTGCATACGGCATTTGAAGTTAAATATGGGGCGTCCAGTTCTTCCCCTGTCTAGTTTTCCCGCCATGACCCTACCAAAGACCAATTGCCGTTGGAAAAGTACGAAGGCCCGCCTCGGATCAGACGCAGTGGCTGCTTAAGTCGGCCCAAAACACGATTTTTCCAGGGCACTTAGGACGATTTTGATCAACTTTGAGACACTACTGCTCCCAAACTAAGGCTGATAATCGCACTCCGCAACAAAGGCATGCTAAAGGTAGGTCCAAAGACCAATTGCCTGTTGGAAAAAAACGAAGGCCCGTCTCCGATCAGGCGCGGTTTCTGCTTAAAGTCGGCCCAAAACACGATTTTTCAAAGGCATTTGTAACCGTTTTGAGCAAATTTGAGACAATACTGCTCCTTTACGAAGGTGGATATCGCACCCCGTAACAAAGGCATGCTAAAGGAGGGGTCCCGTAGGGTTGCGAAATTATTCCTGGGGGTCGCGGAAATATTGGCTGCAAATTGGGGTCGCGAGCCGATAAAGGTTGAGAACCGCTGGGATATCCTGTAGGGCTGATATGACTGCTGCTCCCTCAACAGTAGGTTGATCCAGATGGGCTGCGGTACTCACCTGAAACGCACAAATGAGGAAAGACCTGTAAATAAAAAAGTGAAGAGAACAAACTGCGTGTTGAAGCTAGTGGTGCAAGGTTCACTGCAGGAAATAACCACAACAAAAATACACTAATTTCTGGCAAATTTTTTATCAGGATTGAGTGTACTTTTCAAGTACAAGTACACGATTGTTGTACAAAGTACAATGAAGCGGCACGATGAGGCGTTGTGCCGTCCAGGGCTCGTTGTGGTTTGTACAATACTCGTTGTACTTTCTACAATCCTGTTGTACTTTTATTGTACAGTTTTTGTTGTACTTTGGTTGTACTATCCACACTTTTTCTTGCGGTGTTCATAGTAAATAGCCTGCCCATCCCGGGCCACACTAAAAAGGGGTGCCTGATCGCTATGTCACCCGCGTTGCCATTTGACAGGGCCGAGCCAGCGCCTGCCAGGGTACAGCGTAGGCCAGCTGCTCAACAGGCGTGTCTGCGGGGCTGCCTACCCACTATTTACCATTTCCATTAAGGACTAGACCACACATGATCGTATGCCATTCGGACCAGACACACGCTCGCCTACCCACTAAACCGCGGTACCGAAAAAGGCGCCGGGAGTGTTATGGGGAGCCTCGGAAGCGCTTAGACAGCGAAAATACCCTTTTTCGGCCGTTAATAGTATGGCCGGAATGGGCCGCGTGCTGGCCAAGCGATGGCGAGGTGTTGGCCGAGGCGGGTTTTGCCAGAGTTGACCGGGCCCAGGCGGGTGTGGCCGGACTTGGCGGGTGTTGGCCGGGTGATGACCGGGCCTGGGCCGGGGTGTTGGCCGGACTTGGCCGGGTGTTGGCCGGGTGATGGCCCACTGGCCGGGACTTGGCCTTCGTCTAGGGCAATGATCAGCGGTAGCGTAAGTTTTGAATTAGTCCCGTTCACCCAGGGCAATATTTTAAATACGATACGGTAGGAACGATTTCTAGCAACAGCACAACAGCAGGATGGCACAAACCTCATGATGGTGTCGACCGTCGAAGCGATACTGCTCCTGTAGCATGAGGCAGCTGTATTTATCGTACTTCGGACAGAGTCAAAACACTTAATGCCCAAAGTGATTTCGTTTGTACTTGTCTGACTTATCTTTAAAGATTAGAGCCTACACTGCTGAGTGCAGCCGAAATACAGTGAAGAGGATGAGGAATTTCCGGCACAGCGCCGCACTCTCAGACACGGACTTTTTTCTCTCTGGCTTACAGTGTTTTTTTGAACAAACGAAAAATGTACTATTTTCTCTTTAACTATAAACAATTTTGATCGTTTTAAAGATTAAATTGGCAATAGATCATGGAGAAATGGAAAAGTACATTTCAAATGACAAAAAGTCAGGTTTAATGCACTAAATACATTATACAATGAACACAATAGCACATAGCTAAGAGAAAATAGTATATATTACGTTTGCACCAAAAACATTTTTGGCGAGAGATAAAAAGTCAATACGAGACTGAGGGTGCGCTGTTAACAGGGGAGACTCGCCTTTAACATGAAAAACGCGAATTATCGGATCCGTCTTCGCAAGACAAACAAAAATATGAACATATGTTATAGCTGTGGGTGTGAAATGTGGAGGCCTTGCACTATGAGAAAAAAGTACGGAACATGTCTGGTCAATAATTTGCCTGGACCGTCCGTACTTGCCAACTACGGAACGTTCCGTACTTTTTCTCCGTACCCATTTACATGGGTTCATATGGAGCAAGTACGGAACGTTCCGTACTTTTCTCCGTACCTCCGTACTATATTTTTCTGTACCAATTCCGAACAAAAGTACGGAATTTTTTACAGTGTGGCGAGTTAACCGTTCTGAACCGCCCATTTTAAGGCCTCTTAGAACGGATGAAGCTTTAATCGTTTTTGGACTTTTTTTTATGGCTGAGGTGACTAGACTGATCGTAAAGGCAGCCAAGGAAACTATTTCAACGAGAATAATGGTTAAAAGTACACTTCTTCGGAAAAAAAAATTGTATGGTCATGCAATCCCGTATGGGGTACCGTGACCATTTTACATTTTATTTTCTAAATGCTGAGCATTGCTGACAAGTTCCAATGTACTCCACAAATCAAAGAGTGTACATAGTGTGCTCTAACTGGAGCATGCCTGCAAGCACGCTCTAGCTAGCGCATGCCTGCCAAGCATGCACTAACTTGTGCATACATGCCATGTACACGCTTCCTGATGCAGAAAACTCCCTATCCCTTATGCAGTAAATGTATGCTTCGGTTAGCGTGTACGGCATGTATGCACTAGTTAGTGCGTGCTTGGCAGGCATGCGCTAGCTAGAGTGTGCTTGCAGGCATGCTCCAGTTAGAGCATACCATGTACACTCTTTGATTTGTAGAGTACCCAGTACTCTCAGACTCGTATTGACTTTTTATCTTTTCCATAGAGGTTTTTGTGCTAACGTAATGTGTACTATTTTCTCTTTAGCTATGCACTATTTTGCTCATTGTTTTATGTATTTAGTCTATTAAACCGGAATTTTTGTCATTTTCAATGTACTTTTCAATTTCTACATGATGTATTGGCAATTTTATCTGTATAACGATCAAAATTGTGCATAGTTAAGGAGAAAATAGTACATTTTACGTTTGGTCAAAGAACGCTATAAGCAACACACTAAATTCTTGTGGACTTTTTTATGCATAGTTATGCATGCTCAGAAACGTCCATATGTTATGCATAATATTATGCATCACTGTGTACATTTTATGCAGGAAGATGCATAAAATGTACACAGTGATGCATAATTTTATACATAACATATGGACGATTCTGAGCATGCATAACTATGCATAAAAAATGCGTCTTTATGCATTTAAAAAGTCCATAAGAATTTAGTGTGAAGAGAGAAAAAAGTCTATATAGGTCTGATCTTGGAGGTCCAAAGGGTCCCCTCACACAGTGAAAACTCTACGAAGAATCGCTTCGTAATACGAAGAAAATGAAGGCATTGTAAAGTCTACGAAGACATGCTTCGTATTATGAAGCAAAATCCTTCGTAATACGAATCAATTCTACAACGCCTTCATTTTCTTTGTAGTTATGAAGCAAATGCTTCGCATGCTTTTAAGAGTGCATGCTGGAAACTTAACATGTCGAACCACGGGGTGAAGTAGAGAGAGTCGCCAAAAAAAAAAGTGGTCATGGATCACCGCTTTGCCTTACCGTATTGGAATCGAGGCAACGAGACAAAGTCATCGGTGCTGGTTTGGAGCGTATCTCTAGAGTGGACTACCCCGCCGCCAGCAGGCGCCTGGGGCGATGCAATCCACGCCCGCACTGACAATGAAAGAGTCATGATCATGACTAAAATTTTGGGCGAGGGATTCTTTATTACCCAAATTTGGGTGAGGAAGGTTTCCTCGCCCAATTTGGGTGAGGAAGGTTTCCTTACCCAAATTTGGGTCATAATACTACGGAGCCATATAGGTAGCTGATACACCCTTCCTCACCCATTTTGGGCGAGGAAACAATCCTCGCCCAAATTTGGGTGATAAATTATACCTCGCCCAAAATTGGGTATTGATCATGACTTTTCATTCTCAGTGCAGCTTCTGCTTTAGACGCATTAAACCTAACGGCCTTTTTTTTACGTGAGGTACAAACCACTTGGCTTGTTGCACGAAATAATTGCGAAGTATATTCTTTACTATACGATTCCACCATGAGTTTTGATTCTAAATAATGAACTTAATTTTATCAACTAGTCATCGAGATAAACTGCACTGTGCGAAAAAACCACAGTAAATCCCGTTAATTTTTTTGCCGGGATTTACTGTAGTTCAGGACACAGTATTTACTGTAACCTGGTTACAGCATTTACTGTGCCTGGTACAGGATATTCCGTACTCCACTCCTGTGGTAACAGTAAATCCCGTACATAGTACAGGAGATCCTGTATAAAGTACAGTAAATCCTGTACTCTGAACTACAGTGACAGCTGTACTAATCACTACAGGATTTACTGTGATTTGTTCCCACAGTGTGCACGCCGGCTGCGGTTAGACGTCAGAGCCTTTCAGATGGTTAAGGCAGGTGGCTACTCCAAAGCGCGCTGAGATAAGCTTCCTCAGGTGTGCAAGAGGGTCCCGATTTGACGCAGTACAGAACGGTTTAAAGAGCAATATCCTGGGCAACTTAAGGCAACTAGCGCATGCATATCCACTCCTAACAGAGAGCCAAGTGGTACCACCTGAGGCCAACCACGCAGCAAGTCACAGGCCGTTTTTTGCGCGCCGTGCGTGGTAGCCGCGCACTTCAGTACCCCAAACGAGCCTCTAACCCGGAAGACGAACAACAGAAAGCCAAGGCAGAAATGACAGTCCGTATGAGAAATCTCGCTTCGGATGGCTCCAAAACTAGAGTCCTTAATGCTCCTTATCACTGAAAATAGAAAGGTGAGACTTCTGACCGCTATAACGGTAATACTGAAATGTACGACCGGAAAAAGGTCATACTTCGATGTATGACCGAAAAACGGTCATACTTTATAGTGTATCACAGGTAAAGGCTGATATATCCCCAAGCTAAACAGTAGCCAGTCTCGCTAATGTCTCACCTTTTTTTGGTCATACATTTAAGTATGACCCTTTTTCGGTCATACTTTTTGTGTATGACCGTTTTTCGGTCATTTTGTGGTGAGACTTTTTTGTCTGACCATTTTGTGGCAAGCTTTATTTGTCTGACCAAATTTCGGCGAGACTTTCAGGTCTGACCAAACTTGGCAAGGCTTCATGTCTGAAGAAGTCTGACCTTAGGATTTGCAGTGTTTATAGTCTTCATACTGAAAGTTCAGAGGATGAATGTACGGATTGAAAGGTTCAGATTATGATTACAGACAAGTTGAGTTGATAATGCGGCTGGACTTAGAAGCCGTAATTATGGATTAATATTGGTGTTTGTATTCACGGATCATTCTGTCCGTACAGAAATTCTCAAAACCTGGAGACGCTTTTCATCAGGGGGCAGAAACGGCCTATCGGAAAGCACTTTAAAAAGAAGTTGACTTCAGGCAGAACAATTAGGGCAGGGGGTGGCAACAGCCTAGTGCAGTGGTTCCCAACCCCGGGGTCGCGACACCATTTGGGGTCGCGGAAAAATTTTGTGGGGTCGCGGCATGCTACCTTGGGTCGCGTGGGGTCAAAATTCAAAATGTGACAGTTCATTTTCGAAAAAATCCCCCCTCCCCCCGAAAAAAGATGGGGTCGCGTGGGGTCGCGTAATTTCGTTCCTGGGGTCGCGAAAAATTTTGGAAGCCGTTTTGGGGTCGCGGGCTGAAAAAGGTTGGGAACCGCTGGCCTAGTGCGCGCGTGAAGCTATGCGCGCCGCTCGGGCCGGCAAGGAGCGGCCGGGCGGCTGGGCCGCGCGGCCGAACCAAATTAAACAGAACTTTGTCAAAACTGCATCGAACTGAGTAAACGAGGTCATTTTTAGATTCTACGCAAAATTTCCTATCCGTGAGTGACAATGGAATGGACTTTTGGATATGTGAAACAGTTCTAAAATCAATTTGAAAACCAAATTTACGGCACCAGACAGCCGACTTGAAGTTTCCCTTTCACTAAAAAAGCTATTTCCGTTCGTTTTAGGTCCATACATACAGCGAGCCGATTGTTGGCCACTATTTTCCGGGTTGCGTGGTACACTTGGAACGCCAATACGACTTCTGTAGCAGAAATGCCGATCCAAAAACTAATTTCCATTTTTGGTCCAAAATTGTATTTTGCAACTTTGGAGGTTAAAAGCACAGTTTGAAATAGGTTTCTCAGCATTGTCAACCTCACTAAGCAACCCAGAATTCAATTCTCTATCGCCCTGCTGTGTTGGATTTGCAAAAGGAGGTCAAACTTCTAATTGAAACGAAAAGGCCCGAAGCGCTGCAAAACCGCCAAAACAGTTCAAGTATTATGTGGAGCTTAATGTGTGAAAACTATTTCTCAGATTGTAATCCAACCACACCACCTTGTAGGCCAGTCAATTCTACAGCTCCATTGTAAGTTTCATCGCAATCGGAGACCAGAGCAAAGACAGCTATAATAATTGTAAATCCCATCAGTTTGGTTGGTTGGTCGAGCGGGCGCAAGTATGAGAAATCGCTGCGGCAGATTTTTGCAGCTAACTTTAAAATATATTCTGCCGCCTTCACTCTTGGTCTCCGATTGCGATGAAACTTACAATGGAGCTGTAGAATTGACTGGCCTACAAGGTGGTGTGGTTGGATTTACAATCTGAGAAATAGTTTTCACACATTAAGCTCCACAAAATACTTGAACTGTTTTGCCGGTTTTGCAGCGCTTCGGGCCTTTTCGTTTCAATTAGAAGTTTGACCTCCTTTTGCAAATCCAAAGCAGCAGAGCGATAGAGAATTGAATTCTGGGTTGCTTAGTGAGGTTGACAATGCTGAGAAACCTATTTCAAACTGTGCTTTTAACCTCCAAAGTTGCAAAATACAATTTTGGACCAAAAATGGAAATTAGTTTTTGGATCGGCATTTCTGCTACAGAAGTCGTATTGGCGTTCCAAGTGTACCACGCAACCCGGAAAATAGTGGCCAACAATCGGCTCGCTGTATGTATGGACCTAAAACGAACGGAAATAGCTTTTTTAGTGAAAGGGAAACTTCAAGTCGGCTGTCTGGTGCCGTAAATTTGGTTTTCAAATTGATTTTAGAACTGTTTCACATATCCAAAAGTCCATTCCATTGTCACTCACGGATAGGAAATTTTGCGTAGAATCTAAAAATGACCTCGATCACTCAGTTCGATGCAGTTTTGACAAAGTTCTGTTTAATTTGGTTCGGCCGCGCGGCCCAGCCGCCCGGCCGCTCCTTGCCGGCCCGAGCGGCGCGCATAGCTTCACGCGCGCACTAGGCTGTTGCCACCCCCTGATTAGGGCGACTGACAAATTCTCTTAAGGTCAGTTTTTCTTTTTTTATTATTCTCAGCACATGAAATAACTAAAATACAAAGATAAAGAAAAACAAATTGAAAGATACAAGTTCGATGATCTGGCTGCAAGGTTCACTAACACTGCTTTTAGTGAAGGTACAGCAACGTCAACTATTATTCATGCAAAGAGTCACTTAACACTACGCAACAGGAGAAACTATTCCAATTTCTTGCAACCTGATATTGTCAAAAATATAGGGAAGGATGGCACGCAGCCAAAAGGAAAACGTAAAAAAAAAACATGCAAATCTAAACAAATTGCAAAAAAGATGAAATGGAAAGAACTTATACAAATGTCAGCGAGCAACCAGAGAGGTGGAGCATTGAGCTTGAAACTGCCGTGGGACAAACCAGCCCTTCATTCACGGTGTCGTGTCTTTCTACCAATCTACATTTGGATACCCTATACAGATATAGGAGTTAACATGAAGCGTCGTGAACAAAATTAACAGTCCTGGATATTCTTTAACAGTTAGAACATTTAGACAAATTATAGAAAAGATTATTGAAGGAGGAACTTAACAAAGCAGAACCCGAGTGGGTTTCCACGGAAGTGTATCAATACGACAGGTTGCAAATCAGAATGACATATAAGCCTTTAAAGCCTTCAAACAAACTAAACTGCTATTCCACAGATATCAGGAACATATCTTCAAACATCAACAGGATAACAAAACAAATCTTAAGAAGTACATTAGAACGAAAGTAGGAGGGCAACATTCAAGAAAAAAAGAAAGAATGGCCATAGGACATCCAAGGTCCACAGATGGCAGGAACATGCCTTAATAGAAAAACTGAACAACGAAAATCTTAAGAAGTAAATCAGAACGTGAGAGGGAGTCATGGTGACATAATGGTTACAAACCATCTACGATCGGTGCCATGTTAACATTAGGATCATTATAAATGGTATGGTAAGTAAAGTAAGATCGGGACGACATGACTCAGCAAAACCTGATATCTTTTATCCTTACTTTCACATTCCGTAATCGATCCTGATCTTGACTTCGGATTTTCGGGCAGGTTCAGAAGTTGATTACAGGGTATGCAGGTGGCACCACAAGTCATTGATTGTGACGTGTAGCTTTACGCACAAGCTCTCCAGGATTTCTGCATCCCTCAGCGCGTCGTGAGCGCCATGGCCGGACACGTTCAAGTTGTTGGCCAAGTTGGCCAGTCCGAACTCATATTGGCCCCAGTGCGGCAGCTTGGAGCGGAACACTGGGATGGAGTCCACAGTACCAGCCACCACCGCCCGCAGCGGCGCCAGCAGTCCCAGTTGTTCCATGTCACGCACGAGCAGCGGGAAGTCGAAACTGCAACAGAACAGCAAAATTGATGTACCACAGGCGTGAAAGTGAGGTAACCGCCACTGCCAATCCAAGTGCAGGACAAGTCGACAGTTGTAGGCGTAGGTCAGCTTGTCCTGCGCTAGGAAGTGTCGACCACACTGTGTGTCTCCGACGCCTACATGTAAAGGACACTGTTTGTCCAACGGCAAACTACACTGAGTTTCCTACTACTGCAAATTCAAGCGTAAGACAAGTCGACACTTGTAGGCGTAGACTAGTTTGTCCCAAGCTTGCAAATGTCGACCAGTTGAGTCCGACGCTTTGAAGTGTCGACCACACACTGTCCGACACCTGCAATACGAGGGTGGTTTTTCTTCGTATGACGAAGGTTTCTTTGAATCTTACAATAAAAAAGAAGCTAAAAGGATTCGTATTACGAAGAAATATTCCTTCGTATTATGCTTGCGCCGAATTTACTGTAACACTCGAATAACATACGACCAATTTCATTGTAAGACAATTTAGAATGCTGATCTACACTTGGCTTTGAAGTGCGTTATGAACCTTTCTACCTCACACTCTCACTCAAGGAACTGAAGAGTGTACGTCTTTGTTTCCTGCAAGAGTTAAAGTGAAGGTTGAAGCCTAGCGTGCCTGTCAAGCAGACACAACCATCAGGTTGACTCTTAACCATGCAGCTCATTAAGCAGAATCGTATTACCCACTAACTTCGATCGTGCTTAAGGTTTCTGAAAGGTTAAGAACCTATCTCCCAATTCCTATTCGTATCACACTCTCACTCCAGGAACGTGACATCACGTTGAAACGAACGTGACAACTGTCACGTTCGTTTGAGCATTGTGTCACATTCGTTCTGGTGTGAATTGGCCGAAAATCAGCTCGTTCACATTCAAACGAACGTGACACAATGCTCAAACGAACGTGACACTTTGTCACGTTCGTTTCAACGTGATGTCACGTTCCTGGAATGAGAGTGCAAAGCTACGAATGTTCTAGTGTCAAGTTCTTCAATAAAAATTCTCCCTGCAAGGAACCAAAATGTTTGGGGAGGTGTGATTTACTGTTAACAGACTGGCAATGTTTTACAAAATAAAGTTAAATTTTGGTTGTTGATTTTTGTAGAGAAGAAGTCATTTAGTTTTGAAAATTTGGCAATCCGCAATTCCCATGGAATAGACAAATCAATAGAGAATTTGTAAACAAAAATCAGGTCTTGACAACTTTTGGTTCTTTGCAAATGTTGGGCCAAGGAGTAAATTTGTTACGTAAAGTTCCTTAACTCGCCTCAACTTTGTGTTTAAATTGATCATATAGTAGGCAACCAGAAAAAAAATACCATCATGATGCCTTCATAATTTTTAGATATTATTAATTCACCTTTCTTTTAACATTACAGCAAGAGAATTGATAAACGTACATATATTCATTAGGGGTGGTTCAGAAATAGCAAATAGAGCTTTGAACAATTGTGAACACATTAAGGGTCGAGAATAAGACCATTCGAAAAGGTGACTACTGGCAAAACTTAATCAAAATATGAGGTCTGAAGTAGAAATTTTAAAAATTGAACACTTGAAGGTACATCATATGGTCAAAACCCAGAAGGAGAGCCTCCCAAAGAACCTCTGTAAACCTATTTGGGCTGTTTGCAAATTACGGACAATCCTTCACATTCAGTTCCAACCATTACTAAGCGGTCACTGAACTCTTACGCAGATAAAAGCTCAGTCTTGGGACCTTGGGAGTGCATAGAAATTGATGACAAGGAAGTTTCAGTCACTTTGAGCAAGTGCCGTCAAGGGATCCTATCTGAGCGTAACACCTATCACTGTGGCAAAAAGGTACGGAAAATTCTGTTGATCTTTTGGCCAAGTTTGACAGTCTTCTCCGTAGGACCTTGCATTTTCTGGAAGACTGTATAGTCCTACGGAGAACTTTGCAAGGTCCTAAAAGAGAAGTACAATCCTACTAAGAATATTGACAAAAGGGCAACAAAGAATTACCACAAGCTGCCAACAGAATTTTCAGTTGCCTCTTGCCACAGTGTAAACAGCTCTGAAAGTGAAACTTACTTGGACCCGTTGTGGGCGACGAGTACCACGCGGTGCACGAAGCCCCTCAAGAATGTGATAAACTCGGAGTATGCCTGCTCCATGGAAACAGTGAACACGGTGAGTTCCCTTTGTACAGGCGGCCGCCGTAGGTCGTCAAACCATTCTTCGCCGAGGCACCCGACTCGATGGGGCCCTGGGGCATGATGAACTTGCTGAACTTTCGGTTCAAGCCTGTTGCCCCGATCTGAAGTGGACAATCAAAACACAAATGTTGTAATAAGGAGGAAAGAAAGAGCAGCACGAAAGCGCACAGGGCATGCTACAACCCCACGAAGAATAGTTCGTTAACAAAGACCTATTTACTATGTAAGGTTATATATGCTCAAATTACTTAAATAAAGCTACTTCGCTTCGTAAGACTTAAATAGTTCGTTAAACAAAACTAAAAAGGAGGTGAAACAGCAGTGGTAAAACTAAATCGTGGTTTTACCACTCATTCTAGCATGGAACTACGATTGAAGACTTCACGCCCTCCTTGAAGCGTACAACTAAGCTTTGAGGGGGCACACCAGTGAAAATCGTCAAATTTTGGCCTTTGTTTTTATTTTTTCTCATTTTTTCGCTATTCAGCCCGCGTCGTACGCCGCAAACCCCACCTCAAAATTCCAATTACTTTGGCTTGTGCGCATTTTTATAGTTGCTAAAAAGGTAATTTTTTTAAGCATATTTTAGACCAATTCTTAACGTTTAGGTTATTCACTTGAAGTTCAATTACAAAACCCTTGAACCACCCAAACAAAGTTGATAAGAGGAACATTTTGGCGCAAACGGAACTACGACAAAAGGCGCATTTATAATCCGAAAAAAACACGTCAAATTTATGTTTCTACTTAAAGGGCTTTTTCTCAAAACACCTCTTTTGTACCTTTGTGCCACTCTCACGGGCGCAAAAATTGAGATAACTTAAAACGGTTTGCGGCAAAATGTTCGTTTAACATGCGTCTATGGTCTGAACCTCGGAAATGGCCATCCCATAAATAAGACGCGAGCAGCAGCCATGAAAGCGCGAAAAAATTGGTTAAAATTTTCATTTTTTTTTTGCCTTTTGAAAAACTTAACTCAAAATCATTCTATTTGCATGCCCGTGGTTCAGACCATAGCCACATGTGTCCTGTTGAGAAATTTTCAAATCCCGTGCTCGAGGCTCAATCCAGAGAGGCGGAATCGTGGCAGGAGTGAAGCAAGGTCGCAGAAAAATGAAGTGCACTGGCGCTCCATCTTGCTATCGCCACCTCGCCCCCAAATACTGATGTTCCTTTTCTTTGATATAATTTTAAGCCAAGAATAAAATATAAATTGAATACATAGGTTACTTTTCTCAGAATGGTCGTTTTTCGAAACCTCTGCATTTTCACTGGTGTGCCCCCTTAAGGCAATTTCCCCCACACGCATTTAAATAGGAGGACAAAACCGGATGATCCCTTACGCCTCAACAAGGGCGTACTACAGACGGTACGCTTCACGAAAGGCGTAAGTCTGTAGTGTAGTCTGACAAAATACCTCACTCTGAGTGTCTTACAATGAAATTTGACCTACGTTATTCGTATGTTACAGTGAATTCGGCGCAAGCATAATGCGAAGCAATATTCCTTCGTCATAGGAATCTTTACAGCTGTTTCATTGTAAGAAACAAAGGAAAACCTTCGTAATACGAACAAAAACCACCTTCGTACACTGTTAAAAAATGGTTGTACAGAAACAATCAGATGAGTGAAAATTTAGTCGTTCCAAAACATAGAATTTCATCATGAACCAAAGCGAAACAAATGTCGTTGAGTCTAATAAGCGACATTTTGTCGTTGAAGAACAAAATTCTTGTTATCACTCTTTACGATACAATTTGTGTGGAAACAACATCTTTTGCAATTATCTGCTCAATTAAAGCATCTTATGAATAATCATCTATTTTGTTATTTTGAGTCATATGAAAATTACTATTGTTAAAAAAAAACATGCAAAATAAATTTAGCGACAAAAGTACTCTATGAATATTGTCGCAAACATTACAAAATTTCTTTTGGACTTCCAATACTTGTCGTTGATGTATTATTGATGGTGCGTTATTACAAGTCAGTCGTTGTGAAATTATCCCTTAGTTTCAATACGACTACAGTTTAACAAGCTATTCGTTCCACAACAAATCTTGTCGCTAAAAAAGTTAGCGATAAATGTGTCGCTAAGTTAAGACAAAATTTTGATCAGTGTACTATGCTTGCGCCATTTCCTTCGTATGATGGGAAATTTCTTCGTGAGACTGAACGAAAACATGCACTTCCAGAGAAATCGCTGGGATAGCAGTAGAGTAATCTGACAGCTTCCAGACAATTAACGTGCCGAAGACAAGACGACTTACACTTACCTGAATTACTTCAGCATGGTACAACGAGAGACCTGTCGTCTCGAAATCCAAATACACTACTGCGTAGGTTGCCATCGTGGAAGGAGATCGGGCTGCAAACAGAAGGGCTCAATCGCTGCCAGGTCGCTCTTCTTCGCTGCAAGGTGCCGTCTCCTGAAGTCCCGAATCACACTGCCAACCAAAACAGGAAAGAGAATCAAACAAAACTTCAAAATCAGGAGCCGGTACGCGTGGGACACGCACTCTGAAAGCCTTTGCAAACTAAACTATACGCGTTTCTTAGGTGTGCACACAGCAGTAACTGCTAACGTCGACGCAAACGCAGCACGACGCAATATTAGCTGTGTGTGTACGTAGCATGTTTTAAGATGTATGCCTAGCATGTGCTATCACAGTAAAAAGTCTACGAAGAGTCGCTTCGTAATACGAAGAAAATGAAGGCATTGTAAAATCTACATAGAAATGCTTCGTATTGCGAAGCAAAATCCTTCGTAATACGAAGGAATTCTACAATGCCTTCATTTTCTTTGTAGTTATGAAGAAAATCCTTCGTAGGCTTTTAAGAGGGTGGTAATTCAGCGGACCCTACTCATGTTTAAGTTCTGTGGGCTTCCATAGGAAATCGTCAATAGAGCAGAGTATTCTAGTCGTCACCGATCGAAGAACAAAACCGGAAGCCGGGATGAAACGGAGTAGGTATCAAGCCAGGTTCCAAGCGAGAAATGTCGACAATTACTTTTATTTCCTGAGTCAAAAAGTGTTTAAAACAAACGAAAAGTGCCTTTAAAAGAGATACGCGACAGAAAACTCAGAAACTAGTTCACTCATAGAAGTCTGAGAGGTTATGTTGCGGGGGCCAGTTCCTGCTTTGTTCTTCTTGTTCTTCGATCGGCCTCGACTAGAATACTCTATTGACGGTTTCCTATGGAAGCCCACAGAACTTTAAAATGAGCACCCTAAATGTCTTACAATGAAATTTGGCCTATGTTATTCGTATGTTACAGTGAATTCGGCGCAAGCATAATACGAAGCAATATTTCTTCATAATACGAATCTTTTCAGCTTTTTCATTGTAAGATACAAAGAAAAACCTTCGTATTATGCTTGCGCCATTTCCTTCGTAACATGGGAAATTTCTTCGTAAGACATTTAGAGTGAGGTACTGAGAATGAACGCACAACGCGGTTAAGAAATTCAGGAACAGCCGCTGGCGTAGCAGACTCAATAGTAGTCCCAGCGCAGGTCGTTCCGCTTCGCTTCGACTTTTAACGCCCCTTACTAAAAGGTCGATAAATATTTCGGAAGCGGCCGGACTTAAGAGGTACTGAGAATGGCCGCACAACGCGAAAAACAGAACAGCCGGTACGTCCAGACTAAATGTAGTCCCAGTTCAGGTCGTTGCAATTCGCTTACTTTTAACGCGCACCTGGCGCATTAAAGGTCGATAGAATATTTCAGAGAAGGCCTGGGCCGGAAGCAAGAGCCGGAACCCTTGTCAAGAAGAACACGAACTACTGCGGTTGTACCCCCAAAATGTGCGCGGTTGGGATGTTTCATGACATGCAACCAGAAATACTCGGGACCGCGCATTCAAAGCAGCTCACTTAATTCCCATCCCGAACAGATGGCAGGTTGTACGAACATACCCTGTCAATAAATCCCGCCCTTCCCCTCTCTGAACGTAATGGAGGAGTCCTCGCAGATGCTCAACCCGAAGTCGGTCAAGCCGGAACCAAAAAAACAGCTTACCTGAGCCCCTTGTCCTCCCGCTCGCCATAGGACTTCAGGCTGGGGAAAAGAACCTTTTCAAGTTCAAAACTCTCGCATTCTAGAAAGTTACGAGAGTCCACACAACCTACCACTGGTTGAAGTTGCTTGCCACAAATTTGGCCAGCCGTCTTGAATGCCAAAATTTAGCAAGAAAATCTTGAAAATGCCGAGTATGGCAAGCTGGGGAGTAGATCTGGGTCAAGCTGCAATCTGTGGCTTGGGAAACAGCTTGCCAAATTATGGATACCAATGGTGCACGGGCTGAAGTGATTGCACCATAGGCGGCGAGCCATTTGGATGTTACTGCCAATGTGCGAAAAGCATCTTGAAATGCCGAGTAAAGGGGCATTGCTTGTGAAGTTTCCTTGCAAGAGGAAATTCTGTGAGGCTTGGGCAAGCCACGTCAGCCCAATCAAAATCGATATGGAATCATGAGGGCCGATCTGCATGCTTCAATATATAAAAACTGACTATGGTTGAGCCGAAAACGTGTCACCACTCAACAGACTTCGAAAAGGGGCCAGAGACTCATCGTTTCGTGGATAAAGGACCGGAAGTCAACATGTGCCATGAAGACTAGGACCTAAATTACCGTAGAAATACATTAAACAAGATGCACTTCTGACAACCGCCTGTTTACACAAATAAGGCCACCTGAATATGAAGAGTGTATTTGAACGAATCGCTAGACCGGAAGTCAAAGATCAGAAGTAAGAACAAAAACCGCTTCTGCTTATGCACAGATGTCAACGCACGCGCAGAAGTAGATTTGACTCTTAATATGGTTCTTTGACTTCCGGTCCAGCGATTCGTTAATAAACCCTATTCAAAGACTTACGAAGGATGCACTACGACCACAAGCAATTGCATTAGACTCGGAACCTACGGTAGTGGGCTAAGGGAGGTACAAGTAAGTGTTCATCAGTAAAAGGCATACCGTAATATGCTTCACACAGAACAGTTTCGGGGTTTCTTTGAGTCTGGGACAGAAGTCCGTCAGACAAACGATTTGCTATGTACGTCTCCCTGAATTCTCCTCTGATCTCAAACTGAGGACCAGAAGCTACGCCTCAACGCAAGGAACACAGAGAGATTGACTGGCTAGCACTGGAACGTTCGCAGCGACACATCATGACTGATGCAATACCGGAAATGGTGGAAACGACACAGCATCTTCCGTCAGTCATACCTAGCGAAATAGGGTACTTCAGAGAAGAGCTGGACCGTAAGTGGAGAAGAAATCAAGAGGAGCAAACGCCGGACTTGAATGGGAATATGACTCTGCGGAAGCCGCAGAACGGCGACGCAGACGCTCATTCTAACCAATTTCGCATACTCTGTTCTTCCTGATTTCTTCTCAACTTCCGTTCCAGCTCTTCTCTGAAGCACCCTTAAGACACTTCCATCGGAGCGCAGAGTGAAGAACAAGAAGAATAACAAAAGCCGGAAACAGTTCATAGAAGTCGCTCCTGTGATCATATTATGGGTTCATTTGGGTTCCAAAAATTATTTAAAATTATATTAAGACGAGTTTCATGATTGTAAACCGTCAAAACCTATAAATAAAACGTTTACAGGAACAGGTTCCGGTACCATTTCTCCCTCTCGTTCTTCACTCGGCGATCTGGTGAAGTGTCTATTGCCTCGCCAAACGCCCTGGACCCTACGCACCCGCACCAGCCTAGATTATCCCTCTCTCAGAATCATACTCGTGCATGATGCTTCAACAAACCCTCTAGCCTTGCCTTCGGTTTTCTTCCTGGAATGACCCGCTAAGGGATTCGGACCTCGAAGCCGTTTAACTCGGGAGATTGTTCCTCCCTGGTAGGCGCTGCTCGAAGCCACGTCCAATGGCAACGGAATCCCAGGGTGTCAATCCTCCTATACGAGTGTATACCTCCGCAATGCCGCAACTGGCTAGTGTTGTGCTCTCACAATCCCAGGAACGTGACATCACGTTGGAATGACAATGACAAAATTTCACGTTACTTTGAGTCACATTCGTTTGGACGTGAATCAGCCTGAAAACAGCTCATTCACGCTGAAACGGATGTGACGCAACGCTCAAAGGAACGTGACATTTTGTCACATTCGTTTCAACGTGATGACACGTTTCTGGGATGAGAGTGCCTACAATCTGTCAGCAACTTAAAAGCAGTGGCCCGGAAGAATAACAGAACTGGCAGGCAGAAATATAAGTTTCGATTAGAAATGTGGACGTGCTGGAGTCCATCCGCACAGTGTATTTCTCCAAATAATTGAGTAGTGTAGTCGTCGTCGTCGATCGAAGTACAAGAAGAAGAACATGGAACTGGCGCCAGCTACATAACCTTCCAGACTTCTATGAGTAGACTAGTATAACTGAGCTTTTTGCGCCGTACCTCCTTCTAAAGCACTTGTCGACATTTCTCACTTGGAACCGGGCTTGATACCTACTCCGTTTCTTCCCGGCTTCCGGTTTTGTTCTTCTTTTAGTTCTTCGATCGGCGACGATTAGAATGCTCTTTTGTATCTAGTAACTTACGGTTTCGTTTTTCGTCTTCCGGACCTGAGCTTACCCCGTCAAATGACGTTCAAGAAGAAGAGTCTTAGGTGCGGGTGAACACCATCCTACCTTTAAAAGCTGCCCGGAGTACCAAGCGTACGTGGGGGAAACGCTGGCGCTGAAGAGCCCCTACTGCCACTTACCCGACTGATAGACAAGAACGAAGAGGAAACCCAAGCAGAGCACCAAAGAGGAATGGAGCAAGAGAGACGAGCCGGAGCTGACGTTGACGTAGCTGCACTCACACAGATGGGGGCGCAAGGCATCAGCAACAACAACCGAAGCCGCAACAATCCCAGCAACAACAGCCAGGGCCAGGCCACGACGGGTCTGACTCAGGGCAGGAGGTCAGGCTGGTCCCAGCAAAGCCAACCTATCTGGGCCAACCAACACTAACCTAACGGGGTCGTGACAGATCTTTCGCTACTCGCATGGCTATCGTGTGAACCACGCACGGCATAAGTACCGCCTGGGATTCCCAGGCGGTGCCTGGAAAATAGGTCCTTTTTCCCATGATGCGCCTGGGAATCCCAGGCGGTACTTTTGCCGTGCGGGCATGCCAAGGAACTCATCTAAAGTAGCATTTTGGACAAGGAAAAATAAATAGAATGAAAAGTAAACCAAATTTTTCACTGCCTAATTACTGCTGCTCGCGATCCGTTTGGGCAGTGGTAATATCCGAGGTTTACACGATAGAGGAACGTAAAAGGAACATTCTGCCGCAAACCGCGTTCAATTATCTTAATTTTTGAGGGCGTGAGCCTGGGCACCAGGTCCAAAATTGGTGTTTTGAGAAAATGACGTTCGAAGTGAAACTACGATTTACACGCAATTTTTTCGATTTCAGACGCAGTTTATGGCATATTTGAGTTCGGTTTGCACCAAAATATTCCTTTTTCAAACTGCGTTTGGGTGGTTCAAGGGTTTTGTCATTGAACTTCAAGTGAAACACCTGAACGTTAATAATTGGTGTAAAATATGAAAAAATAGTTACCTTTTTAAGAACTTCAAATACGTGCACAAGCCAAAGTAATTGGAATTTTGAGGTGGCGTTTGCGGCGTTCGACTCGAGATGAACAACAGAAAAATAAGATGAAATAAAAAAAGAAGGCCAAAATTAGACGATTTTCACTGGTTCTTGATAAACTGAAACTGTATCGAGTTCTACGTTGATCATGGTAGTTTTCGATGTGATCGCGAAAATGACATAGAATTTGTTCTCAAACCTATGTTTCGACCCGAAATTGAACAATTTTGAACCTAAATTTAGGTGTCGAGCATTTCACTGATACCGTTACTTTTCGATGTGCTGATCACGAAAATGACATCAAATTTGTTCACAAACCATATTTCTACCAGACATTAAACAATTTCGGACTAAACTTTTCGTGTCGAGTTGTACATTTATTCTGGTAGTATTCGATGTGCTGAGAACGAAAATGACAGCCAATTTCCTCTCAAACCTAGATTGAAAAGCTGGAACGGAAGTAGAGAAGAAATCAAGAAGAACAAAGTATGAGAATTTCGTGAGAATGAGCGTCTGCGTCGCCGTTCTGCTGCACCCGCAGAGCTACATTCTCATCTTTGTTTACTTACAAAGGTCTCCTCCCAAAATTTTGGTCGTGATCGTGAGTCTTTCATTCTCATTGATCAATCCCAAAAATTCACTTGCACAGTGTACTCATCATCTGTCCTGTCACGCATGGCCTATCACATCGCACTATCCAAACTCATTGGGGGGTGATTCCGTGCGTAGGGGGTCATTTCAGGTCAACGGGGCCTTGCGCCTGAACTGAGGTTGATTTGGTGGCTTGGGCAATTCCAATTTGTTTTACTAAACGAAGACCATGTCCTCATGTGGATAAGTTGATCTAACTTTTGTTTTTCTAGGTTTCGTAAGCTGCTAAAGTGTCGTTTTGTAAGTTCCGTCATGGTCACCAACACCTATAAGACAACATTGCCATGCTGTAGTATATGACTCAGCCTCATCACAAGAAAACTGGCTATTTCACTCTCTTCCCTGACTTATTCTTCGCAAAATTACGGAAGGTGACCCTTCTAACATCACTTGTTGAACCCGAAACAGCCTATGGGAAAATGTCCACCGTGTGACCATGTGACCTATGCTGCTTTCACAACTAACGGTCTACTGGGGTTCCTTTTCGTTTTAGAACCTCGCGACCACTTGGGATCGAAAGAACATAAAAAACGCTTCCAGAAGCTCGTGCCCGCGGAACCTGGGGCGGTCAAACGACGCTTCCAGGCCGTCAGAATTGTTCAAAACGGTAAGGGTGTAAAAATACACTACAAATCCAAAGGTCAGACTTTACGCCTCTGGAGAGGCGAGACAAAAAGTCTCGCCACATTTTGGCGATACTTTCATGTCTCGCCACAATATGGTCAGATTCAAATGTCTCGCCAATTTATGGCGAGACTTTTTTGTCTCGCCAAAATATGACCCAAAATTATTGAATAGGGTAGGCAATGCATGGATTCATGGCAAAATAGATAAACTACTGCATTATTCACAAAATTCATAAGAAAACATTTCTGATCACCACTCATAGTTGTTTGACCCACTGGGGACTCTCAAGAGTAACGCTGTTTGTTTCGCTCATAAACCAAGAGGTGCGTCTTCACATAACAGGGCCGCTCACATTCAGTTTCATTGAAATCAGATTGTACTCACAATAATCACAGTAGCACTGTGGCTATGAAGAAATTTGCAGGCAGGTTGAGAGTTGATTCATCCAATAAAGATTGTGTACAAACATGTAGCTGTGAGTACTGTACAACTTGGTCCAGAGCACAGATGGTGTAGACTGTTGATGAACTAAACATTTTGACAATTATCCTTTTCCACACGCAGTTTGACAATAGCTCGAACGATAAAAAGACATCTTCGCGAACAGATAACCCAGTTGGCAACAGTCGTCATCGCTCCAAACTAGAAAAAACTTAATTTTATTGATGCAAAGTCGAGAGGAAAACATGATAACCAGCGGCCATTTCCTCAGGTTACTTTTGTTTACGAGATGTGAGGATGTGACTGCGAATACTGGTTTGGTCATGCGTATAATTTCCCAACCCGAATCTGAATCTAAATCGTCACGCCCATAACTGCCCATAACCTCTTCTGTCCAAAAACAAAAACATAGCCTCTAAAATGGCTGCCAGCCTCTGAGCGATTGTTTGACTTGCAACGATATAATTTAGTTTTTTCTAGTTTGGAGCGATGACGACTGTTGCCAACTGGGTTATCTGTTTGCGAAGATGTCTTTTAATCGTTCGAGCTATTGTCAAACTGCGTGTGAAAAAGGAGAACTGTCAAAATGTTAAGTTCATCAACAGTCTGCACCATCTGTTCTCTGGGCTAAGTTGTACAGTACTCAAAGCTACATGTTTGTAGACAATCTTTATTGGATGAATCAACTCTCAACCTGCCTGCAAATTTCTTCATAGCCACAGTGCTACTGTGATTATTGTGAGTACAATCTGATTTCAATGAAACTGAATGTGAGCGGCCCTGTTATGTGAAGACGCACCTCTTGGTTTATGAGCGAAACAAACAGCG